GTAAGACAAACGATGTTAGAAGAGGCTCATAAGTCGAAGTTTTCGATCCATCCAGGGGCTACAAAGATGTATAGGAATCTGAAGTTAAGCTATTGGTGGCCCTGTATGAAGAGAGAGATAGATTGATTTGTGGAGCGGTGCTTGACTTGTCGGAAGTTCAAGGCCGAACACAAGAGACCCCATGGAAAAACGCAGTCGTTACCCATTCCCATCTTGAAATGAGAAGAGATCACTATGGACTTCATCTCAAAGTTGCTGAGGATGGCACGTGGGGTTGACTCTATTTGGTTCATTGTTGATGGGTTGACCAAGAGTGCACATTTCATTCCGATTTCCGAGAGTATATCAGCCGAGAAATTGGCCTACGTTACATTTGGGAGGTGGTGGTTCGGCACGAAGTGCGTGTTTCGGTGGTTTCAAATCGATATGTTCGTTTTACCTCCAGGTTTTGGAGGAAGTTTCATGAGGAGTTGGGCATTCAACTTCATTTTAGTACAGCATACCACCCCCATACCGATGGGTAGAGTGAGCAGACCATTCAAACACTCGAAGATATGCTTAGGGCGTATATGCTTGATTTTAGCGGGAGTTAGGATACTTATCTTCCACTGGTCGGGTTCTCCTACAACAACAGTTACATGCAAGTATGAAAGGGAAGGGCCCGACATTCTGGCACAGCGTTCTCCCCCTCATGTTTCCGCGATTATGATTTCTTTTACTCTGTTGTTTTGGATATTTTGTATCTTGGATGTTTTCGAGACATTTGATGTATGGGATTGATGAACTTAAAAATGAAAATTTTATCACTGTTTTTGGGATGTTACATTCATGTTTCCTTTTCTTGGAATTTTGCACATTCTCTTCTTTTTTTATCGGATTCGTCGTCAAGATTAACATGGAGGGGTATATTCAACAAATATATCATCCTCCTAAATATGAAAAAAAAAATTACATGAATGACATTAAACATCAACTTGACAATTGTAACAAACTAACAATCATATAAAAAAACATATGTGTATATTGGTAACATATCACAAACATACACACCTTAAACTATAAATAAGGGATAAAGTCAAAAGTAACATGTTCCTTCTTTCGGTTCACAGTTATTCCTACACATACAGCCATACACACCGATACACATCAATATGTTTATATTGGTTAGTAATACATGACAAAATACACAAGTATAGAGACTTAAATTGTAAAAGAGGGACAATCAAAATCATATGTTCCTACTTCCTAGTCTTTATTGTTAGGGTAGACCGAGTAGGTTGCGGAATGGAGGTTTTTTTGGAGGTATCATCGTTACCACAGGGAAGATCATTCCATTCCTTGTGGTATCGCATAAATCCATGCTTCAACGGGGTTCCTAATTTGTTCCATCACTTGAAAGATTGTGCATGGGTTATTTGTAAGTTATGCCTATATAGTTATACTATAGTAAGTGAGTTGAGAGGGATGAATTTCCAAGTGTTCAGGAATATAAGGGTTGGAAGTGAGAGGTGAGAGAAATACTTATGTGGCGCCTACATGGCCATGTAGATTGGTTCTACGCATGCATACGCATGCATATTGTCTAGGTTAGTATTTTCATTAGTAAAGAATCAAATCCTTGGGTAGTATTTTCACTAATTCTAGATAAGAACAAAGTCATTCTATCTGGTTACAAGAAAATTATATGGACATGATATGTAACACATCCAAAACTATACATGATCTAGTTATAGCCAAAGCCAAAGAAAATTACGTCAACGTGTGACTAACTTGAATTACATTAAATCATGAATAAAATACTTACTTTAGTTTCTCGATCTTCCATAGAGGGAGAGTTAACCCATTTTTTATTTTTTCCATCAATGCCATTCAAATGGGTTAATAAAACTTAATCTTATGTATAAATATTTATTGATTTGGAGATGAACAAGAAATTTACGTCTTTAATGAATAACTAAGTGTGAGACTCATGTATTATATGAGTTTATTTAAAAGAAAAAATAAATATGAAATTCTAAACATTTGACAAGTTTGAATTTATAAGAAAAGTAAGAAAAATATTGAATTATTAAAATTAAAATGTTTTTTCTCTTTTCATGTTAAACAAATAATTTAGACAAATAAACAAAGGAAACTAATTAGACTTTAATTTAGTAATTTTGAAATTAAAAAGAAAGTCTATTAATAAAATTGATATGCATTAATTATTATATTTAAATATTATGTGGAATTTCAGAAAATGAAAAAACCATAAAATGGCATGTGGAATAAAAATTAATTTAAAATAACTACAAATGATATGTGACAAAATGAATGAAAATATGACATGTGGTAAAAAAAATATTTACTTGTTAGAGTAGAAATATGATCATTATATTTAAAGTTAGCATAAAAAAATTATTAATATTGTTATTTTTGTCAACTATATGTAAATAATGTCTTTTCTTTTCCATAACTTTGGCAGTTATTATAATTAGAAATGGTTCATGTTGTAACCAATATGTTCACAATTGGCAACTAAAATATTATTTTTACTAGTTTATAAGATTAGTTTATAAGATGTGGGAATTATGGTTAAAAAATTAATTAAATTTTTATAGTAAAAATGTATGATTATTAATCAAATATTTTAAATAAATAATTTTAAAGAAATTATTAATTAAGATATATACCAAAATTTTAAAGTTAGATATAACTTCAAATTTAATATATAATTACAAAAAGTAAATGTTTCTATAAAAAGTTTAAAATCTATTATTTAAAACTTTAACATCATTAATTGTGATGATGATTTGTCTAATATATCTCCCTGACACATTAAAAAGTAATTATGAGTTGTATTAGGCTAAGGGGTATGTTCACACCAAACTCATTCAAAAAGTGACGTCACATCAGCGTCACATCAGTTCCACTACAAACACACTACCAAACCACTGACCCTTGGAAATGGTTACCACTCCACATCATTTTTTTTGACATTATTATATTAAATTAAAAAAATAATTCAAATAAAAACACACATTAAATTAAAACATGTTACATTAATTTTAAAACACACAAATTTAAATCCTAAAATACTTAAAAAACATAAAAAAAATAAAATCTTAAAGTATTTATTTATCCTAAATTACTTTAAAAAAAACATAAAACATACCAACTAAAACATAAATATTAGAACCTACTTTCCATATTTATCGCGAACTTGTTGTTGGATTTTGAGAAATGTCGCGAGATTTTCCGGGTCGAGATCCGGTTGGGGCTTTGTGTTTATGATTTGAAGATCGGTAAGAGCTGTTTTTTGGCGACGAGCTTCCTCCGTTGATTCGTATTTTTTTCTAGAAAACCTAGAGTTTTATCTATGGATTCCACAAACCCATCGCCGCTAGTTGCGGTTGCTTTTCCGCTTGAAGACGTCGCCCGTTTTGCTTTGTCCCTTCCCGGTGGTCGATGGAGTTGGACTTCCGGTAGACCCTCTGCATCGCCAACATCAAAGTCATCATTGAGGTCTAGCCCAAAACTCGCGTCCGATTTAGAAGTTCTTTGTCTTTTGTTGTAGCCGGTGGTCGAGTCCGAATGCGACGTCTCCAGATTAAGGACCCATTTTGGACCGTTACGGCAAACTTCCCACGTTTTTTGGTGACCGAATGGTTTACCATTGGTTGTAACTTTGAATTGGTAGCACACGGTTGATAAAATGTTGAAGTCGTTGCAACCACTTTTATGCATATTTTTTAAATTTTCAAATATGTAATTAAACTTTGTGCAAGCCGCGCGTAGATCACGCCATTTTTCGTTGACCGTGTCGTACGACCGATCCGTTTGCCTTCCAAGTAGCAAGTGAAAGTGATCCAAAACACGATTCCAAAAACTTTCTCCGGATTGCTTGTTGCCTCTTCTCGAGTCACATGATATGAAAATCCAAGTTTTCGCTAAAGCTTGCTCCTCTTCTTCGTTCCAAGTTTTGCTTTTGGTTGCCTTCTTCGAGATGGTTGTGGTTTTTCTTGGACCCGATCGTTATCGTTGTCGAGGTTCACAGTTTGGGATTGAGATGATTGTATTTGGAATTGTTGAGAAGTTTGTTGTTGAAAACCTTGGAATTAGGGTTAAGTGAATTGGGGTTGAATAAATTGTTGTTGTGGTCGTTGTTGTTGGAAGAATTATGGGTTGTATGGAAGATTAGTGAATAAATGTTGTTGTTGGATTGGAGAGTTCAACAATTGCATGTATGTTTGATAATCATGTGGAGTGTTTGGAGTGGGTGTGGTAATTTGGTTTGGGTCCATTTTTGAAGAAAAGATAAAGAAAGTAGAAGAATTTTTTTTGTTTTAGAAGTGTAAAATGAAGGTAAAATGTGTAGTATATATAGGTAAAAAATGTAAGATGTTATTTAAATTTAAAATATTAATAATTTTAAAAAAAAAAATTGATTAAACCGTCAAATATACAACCGTTTCTCTCTCCCTTCCCTATTGGTTGTCTTCGTCCATGGATACCACTACGCCACAAGCCACCTACGCGCACCTGGGGCGGTGTTTACGCGTATGTTGGCTTGCCACGTCAACCTCCACGCATAGTCTTCCCTTCCATACCGGAAGGCCTTAGAGTGATATATGACAAAAGGAAATTAAAGCTATTCTTTTCTTAGTATATGAAAATGAAGATGAAGAAGTGAGACAGGGAGATGTCTAAATTAGCTTGGCAATGTAAACAACTCTTAACATATTACATTGAGAGCCCACAACAATATTAGATCATCAATGAAGATTACAAACCAAATATTAAGTTCAATCACTTGAAGCGATGCTAAATTTCCATATTTTCATTCAAACAAGAAACCATCAACCAAATCTCATTAAACAACAACCAAACGACTTCCGGTTGATAGGTAACCCTGGTTTTCATATTTTTATCAATCAAAAAGGTTTGTTGCTAATTGTTTATAAACGATATAAAGTGGTTAAATTCCTTTTTCTATGATATAAATTATAAAACAAGAAACTTTAAATAATTGGAATTTATAAATACTCAACTCAAACATTTAACCGAAAAAATTATTTTAATTGTTTGCTACATAGACTTGGAAGCATGATGAGCCTTTGCTGTTTCCTTCAACACAGCACCAACAATCGCAGCCTGTTCAAGACATTCAGCTTTATGCAACGAATCCATAAGCACAACACACGTATTCAAATACACATTACACCCTTTCATTCTACAATCCTCAAACAACAAATAAGCATCCATAGCCCTATTCGATACACTCAACCCTTCAATCATAGTATTATAACAACCCGAATCCGGGATTCCACCTCCTTTCTTAAACCTATCAAACAACCGATTTGCCTCAATCACATTCCCACTTCTCGCAAGCCCACTAATCATTGTGGTATAAGTCACAACATTCGGTTGCACCCCTTGTTTTTGCATCTCTTGCCAAAACACAAATGCTTTATTGAATTTTCTAATTTTACATAATCCGTTTATGATAATTCCATAAGTGATTCCATTTGGTGTACATTTTAAATCCTTCATTGAGTTAAAGCACACAAGTGCTTCATCGATTTCTTCCGCTTTCACTAACGCATCAAGCAAACAATTCCATGTGTAGATATTTGGTGTCAACCCTTTTTGCATTAATTCCTCCATGATTAAATACGCTTCATCGATTCTACCTACTTTTCCAAATCCATCAACAAGAGAACTATAAATTATTACGTTTAATTCAACTCCTTTTGATTTAGCTTCTTCGAATAACATATAAGCTTCATCTAATTTGTTTATTTTTGCAAGCCCATCGATCACGGATCCGTATGTAACAACATTTGGTGGATGACCTTTTGACTTCATTTCTTCTAGAAGGTTATACGCTTTGTTGACTTGACCTGATTTACAAAATCCATTGATAAATGTGTTGTAAGTAGGTGTATCTAAAACACATCCTTGTTTCTTCATGTTATGGAGTATTGAATTTGTTTCTTTTGAAAATCCTGATTTTATTAATCCGTGAAGTAATATGGAATAGCTTCGAGCATCTGGGGACATGTTGTGAACCTTAATTTCTTCAAATAAAGCTCGACCTTTTTGTGTTTCACCAGCTTTAAAAGTGCAATCCATGTAAGTGTTCAACAGGGTTAAATCCGGAATTATCCCTTTTCGAATCATTTCTTTGTAAATCTTATGACCATCTTCCTTTCTTCCTACTTTAAAAAAGTTTCTTATTAAAGAAGTGTAGACTACTGCATTTGGAGTCACATTAGCATCCAACATTTGTTCATATAGTTTGTAAGCATCATCAACTCTATTCATTTTCCCTAATCCTTCTATAAGAGAGCAATAAGTGTAACCATTTGGAGGACAAACTTTATGATCCATTTTTTCAAAGATTAAACATGCTTCATCTAGTTTTTGAGACTTACAGAGTCGATCGATCATTATGTTGAGAGTTAATATATTCGGATACAATCCGGATTCTTTCATGGATTCTTGAATTTCCAAAGCCTTTTCAAGATTCTGAGATCTACAAAGTGTGTCTATGAGGATATTGTATGTTGACAAATTAGGTGATGCATCTTTTTTCATTTCATCAAATAGCTTCAAAGCCTCATTTACTTTCCCTTTTTTTCCAAGACATGTGAGGATACAATTGTATGCAACAACACTTGGGATTGAGCCTTTGAGTCTTTGCTTCTCGAGTAACTTAAATGCTTCATCAAACTTTCCAGCCATTCCATAACCCATGATCATGGTGTTATAAGCATATGCACATGGGACTCTTTTTTTATGCTCCAATTCATCGAATAACTCAATAGCTTCATTGAGCTTATTAGCTTTGCATAGGACACCTATCATGCTAGTGTATGACACATCATCAGGCATGATTCCATGAGCTTTCATTTCATGAAAAAACTTCCAAGCCATGTCCACTTTCCCAGCTTTACCAAAACAATCTATACAGACATTATACAGAACAATATCTCCATCAACATATTTGCTTCTCATTTCATCTAAAAGAGAAAGAGCAGCATCAAGTCTACTTTCTCTTGCAAATACACGTATCACAGTTGTGAATAGATGCACGTGTACTTCATAGCCTAACTCTTGCATTTGGTGAAAGAGAGTGAGAATGAGATCAGGTTCATGAATGGTTGAAAGAGCTCCTATGAGAGTTGTGTATGCTGAAAAAGCAGGGCGAAATTTGAATCTTCTCATGAGTTGGATTAAATCGAAAGCTTGTTTTAGTTTATGGATTTTGACACAGCTTAGGATTAGTTCAACAGATGTGGTATTAGAAGGGCCAAAACCAGCAAAACTCATTTCTTGAAATACTTGTTCGATTTGATCAAAGTTGTTGCTTTTTGCCATAACCATGAGAAGGGAATTGTATGCTTCAGGACAATGGGGTTGATTGCTTTTCTTTTCTGCCCATTGAAAATAGTTTAGTGCAAGATTGACATCTTTTAGTTTCCTTAAAACAGAAATGACCAAATCACTTTGTGTGCTTCCATTGTATGTGGATAAAGCTTTCTCTAAAGATGTTCCCCATGGACCACTTTCCAAGATTTGGCACACATTATCCACTTCTTGTCTTTTTCCATTGAATTTTTCAATGTGTTCTTCATTAATGCCACTTGTAGAAGAAAGAGCTCTTTGTTGCAGATTTGAAATCCCTATATATGAAGATAGAAACCTCTCACATAGAATAAAAACATCAGGGCATTTTGAACTAGAGTTCCATAATTTCCCTGCAGCAGGCATAAATAGTGATTAACAAATAAACCCTAGCTTCATGTTGATAGAAAAGAAAATGATAAGATCATGATGAATTGATGATTGATATGATATGCTTGACAGAGTTTGCTCAGGATAATGTGGTTAAAAAAGAGAAATTTGTTAGCAATTTTTACCTCGGCCTGTAAGAAGTGTCTTCATCCTTGCACTCAGTTGCTTCTACAAAGCCTGTTCTTCAGAGCTCCCATTCCGATTCTGAGAAATTATTACAGCTTAGAAGAATAGGCACATAGAACAGACGCGTACATGACGATAAACGACATAAAATGAAACCTAGGACCAATTTCAACAACTGAAGTAACTCAGTGGTAAGCAATCAACATTCAACAAGTATGAGCAATCAGACATAGATAACGCATAATCAATTAAAATACGAAATGATTGCAATCATTACCTTACATCAAGTTTTCAAACGCCAAGGTATAGGTGTATCGCACTATCGCTATAATTGTAATCACTACCTTGCAGCAAGTTTAAAGAACACTAAAAGAGAGTATAGACTTGATGACGAGTTATGTTAGGGTTTCGATAGCAATAAATAACTTATATGAGGTTTTAAACGAAATGATGAAAATCAGAGGGGCATGGAGGCTGATAGAACATAGAAAGCATACTCAAAGCAGCCGGAAATTACGCAACATGTTTTCGCTACGGCGGAGGTGAAATGAGGTCGGTGATATTAGCCGGACTAACTGGTAACTACCAACCAGGGCCGAGGAGAAGAGTGTGGTGGTAGTGGGCTACTTTCTTTGGATTTAGGGTTCATTTTCTAACTAAATAAATGTTACTCAAAAGCCCACTTTAGACCAATATTGGTGAGAAACCCTGAAAAATCTAATTAAAATATAATTTTTGTCTGCTTTAATTTTTAAATATTATATTAATATTTTATAAAATTTAAAAATATCATATTTGTATAAATTTTTACTTTAATATTTATAAACATTATACATCTCTTGTAAATATAAGTTTAAAATATCATTTATATCGTATTACATAAAGTTAGTTAATGGTTATATATTATTAACTAATCAACAAAGTAATTACATATATACTATATGGAAAATATGTATCTCTAACCCGACAAACCATCATAGGTACCACAAGGATACATATATGTAATACTTTTGCAGTACGACAAGTAAATAACAGTTGTATTTGACATTCTTAAAGTTTCCTCTGTAACTCCAGTATGATTTTATTCATATCTGCTTTCTTGGTCGCCTTCAATATAATATGTGATTGTCTAGTTTGTGGTGGTGGTCATGGTTGTGATGGTGATAGGCTTTGTCTCGGCATCTCATAGTGTCTGCTTATATGACAGCGAAATTCTGTGTGACATATAAAGGGAAAAGCCAAGGTGATTGTGTGAAAGATAATGCATTGTTATCTGATGACGAAGGTAAATCATCGTGATTAATCCAGACAGAGTTATAAAACTACTACACGGCACGTCGGTCGTTGATATCAACTCTAACCTCACTATATGCCTATTATCATCCTATTACAATTTCAAACAAATTGTTAACACCATATATGTAGCAAAAGTGGCATTTTAAATATATAATCATGTCCGATCAACATCAACATCAACGACCACCTCATATTTGGTCTTTTGTAATCGTTTAAGCTTTTACCATGTAATGGCTAAAAGGATCATATGTGGTTGTTGGGTACCAAATACATGGCTAATTGGAAAAGTCTCCAAATCCAGATCTGTCAAATTATGTATCACGATATGAATAAACAAAAAACGTTAAAAAAAATAAGCTCTAAAAAAATATTACCATGAAAGCGTATATGAACCCACGTACCGTGTACGCCAAATTTTGAGGTTTTTTTCTTTACTTTGAATGGATGAATAAGTTCCTAAACTTTCGTATATACTATCTTCAAGTTGTTGTACAATTTGTTGGAAAAGAATGTCAAGTGTCATTAATCAGTGGTAATATTTTTATACAAAATTGCAAAAATGGTCCCTGTAGTATGCATTTTTTTTGGGTTTTAGTCTAAACCACGACTTTTTTGGATTGGTGGTCCTTTTAAGCTAGTTTCGTTGCGTTTTTGGTCCCTCAAAAAACTGAAAAGACTAAAATGCCCTTCTGATACATTTTTTATGGTTTTGCTATTTAATTTAAAGTTTTATTAATAAAAATTATAGGGCCCACCTCTCTCTCTCTCTCTCTCTCTCTCTCTCTCTCCAAAACACACACTTAACACTATCAAGAACACATACGCACAATCTCAAGAACACATCCACCTCCATCTCCACCGTCCATCACTGTTCACTGCCACCACCATCTGTTGCTAACCACCTCCATCTCCTCCACCGTAAAATGCCCTTCTTGGTAATGGGTTTTCAAACGCTCATTTGGTTGTTGTTCTTCAAGGAAAGGCTGCATAATCTGTTGCGTTCTTTAATCATGAATACTTTTGTAGTTTTCTATTTATGAACATATGCAAAAGGCACACGCCATTGTTCTGTAATTTCAAGATCTGAAGAAACAATTTCTTGATTATTTTTTTTCTATATTTTCAAGGTGTGAATTCATGGAATCTCCACAATCTGTTGTATCACCATTGAAGAAATATGTTGTATAACCATTGAAGAACTTGTCAATTTACTCCGACCCCAAAAACCACAATCTCAATCATTCCCCAAAATCCCTGAATTCATATAAAAAAAATCCGACCCATCCCTTGGTGTTCTTGATATCACATTCATCAAGCTAGAACATTCAAAACATTTGTATATACCGCAAACAAGATGTTTATGCCAAAATTACCCTCACTACCAACCCTGAAAAATCCGTCACCACAAACACAATAAATGGAGGTGGACAAAATCTTGTTTTCAACAAAAAGGTTTCAATCGATATTCAAACCTAAAATTTGAAACTTAAAGAACACCACACACCACCGATGATGTATAAATGGTGCATATTTAGGAGTGAGGGTAAGAGAGAGAGCGGGATAGAGGAACCACAGGTCGTCGGAAAAGAAGATTGAGATCAACCACGTGTCACTGGAGAAGACGCCTGAAATAGACCTCCACACTCCATTACCCCCACCTTCAACCCAACGCCAAATGTGTTCTTCGAATATTGAGCAGTCAATGATGGCTTTTGAGGTGCATATTGGCAGGGCAGAACAAACTACAAAAAACCCAGAACTCCAAGAACATGAACCCATAAATTAAACTGACTCAAGAAGACGAACACTAAAATCTATTTTAGATCTAAAATCGTTCGCATAACTTTGATTTTGATCCCCTTTATTTGTAAGAAACCCTAGATCGAACATAAATCAGGTTCATCTATGGCGGATCTGGAACATAAAGTTTTGATGTTTAATTTCCTTTTCTAATCTGGACTTGTGTCTAGTGTTTCTAATTTGGAATTGTGTCTAGTGTTTGTTCGAATTGAGAGAGAGAGAGAGAGAGAGAGAGAGAGAGAGAGAGAGAGAGAGAGAGGTGGGCCCGATTTTATATTTAATAGTAATAATAATTTTAAAAAGTGAAAGAAAAATGAAAACTAAATTCATTAAGGGTATAATAGTCTTTTTAGTTTGGACAGGGACCAAAACTGCATGTAAACTAGCTCAAAAGAACTGTCAATCCAAAAAAGTCGTGGTTTGAACTAAAACCCCAAAAAAATGCATACCACAAGGACCATTTTTGCAATTTTGTCATATTTTTAAGACCCATTTAAACAGTTAAAAGACCAAAAGAATTTAGGAGAAATCAGTTAACTTTGTCATGTTTTGATAAATTAATTAGAAACTATTTTAAAATTAATTAATTAAAGAGGTTGGATGTTAATTGATTAAAAGTTAATTAATTTTTTTTTTCGAACAATTGAATATATTAAAAAGAGAGGTTAGCGCAAGGCTAACAAAAAATTACAAAGGGAATAAACAAGATCGGGTTTAACCTCCAAGACAACCGACTAACACTAATTTTCTTTGCTACGCGCAATCCAATTGTAAGAATAGTCGATCAATCTATCAATCAACAAATTTCTTCTAATATTAAGACCATTAAAAAGAACATCGTTATGTATGTTCCCAGGAATCCACCACATGCATGGTCACAATTATAAACTCCAAAACCACATGTTTGACAGAAGAAAAACAAACATTGTTGATCCAATTCACAACACCTTCGACCCCCACAAATGTAGGAATGTTCAAATCACACCATTTGCCCAAAAAAAACACCACAACTCCGCAACCACCTGACAGGAAATTAGAATATGTGAAAGGTTTTTTAAGTCCGAGTTACAAATGTCGCAAACAACAGAAGGTAAGTCAAAGCCTTTATCATCTGGATTAACCCGTGTTGGAATCTTGTTTAACCGTATGCGCCAATAAAAAGTATTCACTTTACGAGGAAGATATTTAGTCCACCTGGTAGAAAAAATATCATTCGGTAAAGTGAAATCATCAATACATCTTCTAACTTCCGCAATCGTAAAATGATCAGAACCACCTAAATTACAAGAACACTGATTTGTAGAGCCGAGAAAAGGAAAATCAACGAGCAAATCAAGCATTTGTTGCAACAAACAGTACCTCCCATGATCGGACGACTCCAATCAACATTCTAAAATCCTTAGGGGATAATGGTGGACGAAATTTCTAGATAAGCCTTTTAGGGTTTTGGAGTTGTTTTGGGATTAAGCAACTGAAACTTATAAATAAGGTAGTAGGGATCAAATCCTATTGCTCCTAACCTTCAAAAACTTTGGCCCTCCCTAGCCTTTCTCTCAAAGCCGAAAAATCCTAACCTTTCTAAGGTTTGTGAGATTTTCGATTTTTGCCTCCCCTCTCCTATGGTTTTATTATTTTGCTTTTTGGTGTTTTTGGGTGTGAACCATTAGAGGGATTCTAGTTTGTGTCCTCTCATTCAAAAAGGTGGCAAGAACAAGATTTCAAGCAAGAAGATTTTTAGCTGCAAAAAAAGGTATTTATGTTTTACTATTACTCTTGTAGTTGCAATACTATAATGAAACTTATATCTTCATAGGTTGCATGAACACATGATTTGTTAAGTCTTCTGTTGCCATGATCGTGCGTTTAGAACACCCTATAACCTAACACAATTATTTCCAAATTATCCTGCCCTAAGGATATCTGTGTCATAAAAAAAACTCATTTATTACATCAAAACAGTTACAAATGACATTTAAAAAATTATGTAATGGTAAACGACATGATAATTGTTGAAGTCGTCAAAGTTGGATATTGGCCCTTAAAACTCATCATTCAAGTGTTGACGAAGCAACTGACCGTTAAACCCTTTCTCCAAAGAGTAGAGCGGACACACTCGAACCATATCATTATCTGATAACTCATCAAAAAATTTATCAAATACATTCCTTACATATTCCAACCTTACCGTGTCACTCAAAACAACCATAAGAACACACACATAATTGGAATCCAAAACCAGGAAATAATGACCAAACTGGAACTCGATAACTAGATAAAAATCCTTATTTCTAAATGACAATTTGTAGTCCCCGATCTCAAAAAATATTTCCAAAACTTTGTTTTGTCAGTTTGTATTTATTTTTTATTTTTTGAAAAAAAATATAACGCACAAGCAAATGGTTCCCTTCAACACTCACATCCATATCAAGACACCTACCAAAGTACGACTATCGGAAAAGAGCCTTGCATGACATTCATACTATATCTTACCAAAAATATCGACACGAATGGCAAGTTTGTACTAAAAAGTAAGAGAATCATCGAACGGACCGCCATGTTGAATATCGAGCAAGTTAGTTAATTTCAAAAATAAATATTGCCCCAAACAACATTCTAGATTGTTGTAGGAATTCCAAACCGAGAAGTTTTCCACATTTCGAATTGTACTTCATATACCAAACTGTTCTTCACATTCCAAAATACGATATTTCATTCTGAGTACTTAATATGACAATTGAAGACAAGGAACAATACCATATTCTAGTTTTCTAAACAAGAGGGTCGCTGATCACAAAGAAATAGTTTTCTAAGGCTTTAGATATAAATTAGCACTATATTATAGGTATCTTCTTGCATTTCAAACTACGTTTTTTAGTTAATAATCCATAAAAACACATAAACACGTAAAACAAAAAAAAAAAGCAAGAACCAACCCGTAAAAGCTCATAATCATCATGACTTACGCCATTTTTTACTTCGTCAAATAAGTCAGGGATGTTTGGTATCTCGGTGTGTATTCTACACTTTCCTTAAGTAGGAGTCCACTGGAAACCGTTTCAAATTGGACCGGCCGGGATTCAAATTCGAAATGACTCGGTCGGAACTAGTTGATTATTTTGCCAAATTACCATATAATGAGTGATTTTCATTAAATATATTTCAATATTTGGCTAGTTTAATCCGTACCCCTGAATTTATTTCACCAAACTAGTCTCTTTTTACTTTTAATCAATATCCCAAAATTTATTTCACCAAAATAGTCTCTTTTTACTGATCTTAGGTGGATATAGTTTTTTAACTTTAGTTAAAAGTATGTAGAATTTTCGGCAATGTATTTTCCCAATACCGAAACACGACGAAATATGTACTCATGCCGTCCATCCAGTTTCATGCATAAACACTTCACCCCTTTTTTCCAATTTCAAACACACACACATCCAGCCTCCCTATTTTCTCTGTTTGTCCATCCAGTTTCAATGGCACCGAAGAGAAGGAGACAGGTATAACTTCTCATTACTTCCTAGCTACTGTTCTTCTTCTTCCTCTACATTTCGCTGATCGTCTCGCTGAATTTGTAGACGGGTTTAACCCGAATGGATGCGGCTCTCGATCAAGTGAGTTGTTTTGGGTTCTCAAGGCAACTCATTAGGCGAACTGTTAAAAATCTTCTCAAGGTCAGATTATTTCTTCGCCATTACAAAAAATTTTGACCTTGCATTCAGTTTTTTCTTTGTTAAACCCGATCATAAGAGAATTTTGGATTTATATTTGGTTCCGTGTAAACTGATTTTTGGTTTTTGTTCGTCTGATTGGGTAGGGTTTATTTTCGTTCGTTTTGTCCCAATTTTAGATGACGAACACTAAGGAAAACTCCCAAGCTTTTGATAATTAGCAATGGGTTTTGACGTTGAGACCCAAACATATCAATTCTATGATCTTCAAAACAAAAAAGAGAAAAAATAGTCGCTTTACTTTTGACTTAAAAGCGACCTTTTTGACTGTGGTTTCTTTGAGTTTTGTTTTTTCATTTCTCCTTGATGATAAATTTTCTGCGCAACTTCAACGATACGCTTCTAAAAAAATCAACCCTAATTACAAACCAAGAACAATAGGGTTGAGAACGAAGAAACAAAGAGAAAACAAAGGAGTAGTGTATGATTTGTGAAGATTAAACACTGAAATTGCACAAGTGTTAACGCATCAATTTGGCATTGAAAGTTTATAATTTACATCTAAATTTGTTTATCTTTCTGTCATTCGTTCTAATTTCCAGGTGTATGGTGATGATGGGTGGAAATTAATTGAAGAAGATGGCTACAAAGTCGTTATTGATTTCATTCTTGATGAACAAGAGTCTGAACAAAAACAGAACTTATTAAAGGTATATTCGTTAAAGCCATAGCTTAACATTTGTTTTCATGGCTTTTTAGTAGTAAAATCTTTTTTATTATTGTTATCGAGTTTGAATGCAGAATGAGGCATCATCACAAGAAGAGAAACCTGGAACTGAATTAATCATGGCAGAGGTGAAGGAAGAATCTGCAAAAGATGAATCTTTTGAGGGAAATAACAATGCAGCGTTGACCATTCACACAGGTCAAATTCTCATTTTTATGTTAAAATTTTCAAAAAAATAAAAATCACATCTACATTAATAACCACATAAATTGTTAAAAGTTCAATATTTTGCTAATTACAGAGAATGATGAGTGCCTTGAGGATACCTCAATGGACATGGACAAAACTGCCCACTCAAGCACACTCCATGATGATCACTCTGCACATGAATTTAACATCCAATGTTCCGAAAATGCCCCTCATTCAGGACCTTCATCTGATGCAACTAATGCCCCTGTAAATCTCCCTGTTCGTAGGCGTAAGCCCTGTTATGGATGGATCAGTGATGATGATGATAATGAGGAAGAAACTTTTTTTATAGCATTAACTCCTGCAAGATAAAGCTATATTCCATATGCATAATATCCTTTTGAAGGTATGATTAAATTTGCTATAATCTTCATACATTTGTTTTCATTTAAAATTGTTCAAAATAATATAATGCTATATAATATTTTGTGCAGATTTGGGTTTGGCTTGGTGTAAAGAAGGGGTATATCGATTAATCTAATTATCTATCCTGTTATTATGATGAAAGAAGGCTTAGATGTTTAAAGATTGTGACATTGGTAAAAGTACAAGTTTTTGGGCTTTGTTACCTTCTAAATGTTTGACTATTTGTATATATAATTATATATAAATATTAACTACTATGGGGATTGTATGACACAAGAAAGAAAATGAATTGTGTAATTAAATTAAGGTTTATGTATGCAAGTTGTTTTGATATGTTATGAAGCTTATCATGCACTTTATGCCAAGTTTTGTAGGCTTTTGAAAAACATTTTGGCTTAGGTTTGTTTTTTGAGCTTGTTAAGAAACTCATTTATTGAACTAAAAAATATAACCATAAAGAAGGTACAGAAAGGGTAGAAACTTTAAATTACAAAAAAGTATTTAAACTTCAAATTACAAAATGACTAGATATTGCAAATCCTAGCTTTAAATACGATAAAAAACACAAATTCAAATCTTTGAAAACTAATGGAAGTATTGAACCCTAGAAGTGGATCAGGTGTCGACTTTTCAAGGTGGATTTCAATAAGGCATTTGACTTGGTCAATTAAGAGTATCTTGACTCGATAATGGAACAAATGATGTTCGGGGCTAAATGGAGAGGGTGGATTAGAGGTTGCTTGGAATTCGCAAGAGCCTCAGTCATTGTCAACGGTAGTCCCACCGCAGAGTTCCAAATGTCAAAAGGATTGAGACAAGGCGACCCATTATCTCCATTCTTGTTCAACATTGCAATGGAGGGGCTCAATATCGCAATGAAGGAGGCGATATCAAAAGGAATATTTGAAGGTATCTTGATTCCTGACACAAACAGGGTTGTTTCTCATTTATTTTACGCGGACGATGCCTTATTCTTGGGTGAATGGTCAACGAGAAACATAGCAAACCTTGCTAGAATTCTTAGATGCTTCCATCTGGCATCCGGTCTCAAAGTAAACTTTAATAAGTCTCGGGTATTTGGTGTGGGTTCGAATATAAATGAGGTTGAAAGTTGGGCTTTCCCCCTTGGATGTGAGCTGGTTTCCTTACCATTCACATATCTTGGGGTTCCTGTGGGCGCCAATATGAACCTCAAGAGATCATGGAAACTGATAATTGATAAAATAAAATCTAAAGTTTCCTTGTGGAAAGCTAAGATTTTAAGCTTTGGTGGCCGTATAACATTGGCAAAATCGGTGCTCGGTAGTCTCCCAAACTTCTTCCTCTCAATATTCTTGGCACCAATTGGGGTTGTGGAGGAAATCAATAAAATAAGGAGGTGCTTTATATAGCAAGGTTCTCAAAACAATAGAAGTATTCACTGGGAAAAAATCCTTGCTCCAAAAGATGTTGGTGGACTTGGATTAGGTTCTATTAGAGCTCTGAGCTTATCCTTGATGGAAAAATGGATTTGAAGATTAAGAAAATATCAAAATTCACTATGGGCCCAGGTGGTTAGCAGGCTCCACAAGTTAAATCAAAATCATCCAGAAAAAATATCGAACATGGTTTTAAATGGTGTATGGTGGAATATATCAAAAAGTATTCACGAATTGGGAAAACTAAGCATAACCCCTTCGCAGATCATCAGGTGGAACGTATCTAATACTTGTTAGGAATCAGACTCTGCAGTTAAAAACTCTTTTGTGATGGATGAACTGCGGAAAAGAATTGAACACGCTCCCCACTTTGTCTGCGATGGTGTTTTCTCATGGTTAAAGTTAATTCCATTCAAGGTGTTGTGTTTTGTGTAGCGTGCAAGGCTTGGAAAGATCCCGAGTGCTATGGAGTTAAGCAAAAGGGGAGTACATATTAACTCACTGAACTATTTGGCGTGTGGTAATAATAAGGAATGCTCGAACCGCTTACTTGTTTCCTGCCCGATGGCGGAACAAGTGATAAATATGATTCTTAACTAGTGTGGCCTGGTGACTCAACACTTCGATTCTGTGAAGGAGATCGTGGCATTTGCATGCAAATAG